TTTTCCCTCCCCTGCTTCAAGCTTTATGTTATTCAAATGACTCCCAAATCCACAGGGCTAACCCTAAGCTCTCTTTCGAAGCTTGAGATTCACAGATGGTGGACTATAAATAAGGTACATTCCTAAGAAATGAAAGACAAGATATTCTTTTTAATCTGCAACTCAAAATCATGAAGCGGTCCCTTGGGGGATCAGAAACTGGAGAATTCCTGATGGGGTCGGTCGGAAGAAAGAAAACACAGAACAAAACGTGGAAAGGAGAGCCCCATGCCAGAGGAAGGGGTGCCTGGGAGCTGGACGGGGCCAGGGCAACTCAAAGGGAGAACTACCCAGAAGAACAGTGTTTGGTCTCTATAAACCAGCCCCTGCCCACATAAATACAAAGACTCAGCCAGTCAGAGGCCAGCCGGGTAATCTCCCTCCAGGCACCTTGATGTATATGGGCTTGGGTCAGAGAGACAAGGCATTGTGCCATGCCTGCCAGAAACCAGAGTGCCCACACCCACCAGACCAGCCTCTGCCGCACCCTGTCCTCAGGGGACACCCCCCCCCGCCCCCGCTCCTATGCACTCCTGCCTGTAGCACACACACAATCTGGGTGACCTCTCAACCCCAACGGCCAGCATAGGCAAAAGTCAGCAAACATTTGAGTAAGGCCAACACCGTGAAAGGAGAACAGACAATAAAAAGGAACTTACAGAAGCAAAGTGTCATCATAGGGAGACTTATATATAATCCAGATCCTCAGAGGAATAAGTGAGGGTCTGGCATTCAAGAAATAAAAGTAGACAGGCTGTGAGGGAAAGGAACAATGGGAAAGGAAGAATTAAAAAGACAGAAATGCAACAATGGAAATAAAAAACGAAGCCAATGAGCTGATAACAAAATAATTACAGTTTACAAGAGCTGCTGAACTGGAAAATTGGGCTGAGGGATTCTTCTGGAAGAAGAGAAGAAGAAAAATACAAATTAATCTATTTCAGAGATTGGGACAATAAAATCTGAAGTTCCAATAGCCCTCTAATAGATGTTCCAGAGGAAGAAAACAGAACAGAGGGGAATTTTTAAAGAAATGTTAAAACTACAAAATGGAACCGAAAATAATATGATACTGTGTTCCCATCAGTCACTACTGACAACTCATACTGTTTTACCAGATGTGCTTCAAGTGATTTTTTTCAAAGAAATAAAACTAAAGATAAAGCTGATGATCTGATGGTCCTTCTGACCCTAATTCCTTGCCCCCTCTTTGTTCCTGAGGGCAGCCATCGCCATCAGGAATTTGTCTGTTTATTTCCAGCCTGTTATATATACAAAATGCATGAGGCTTTTGTCTGTGGCTTTAAATTTTACTTAAATTATAGTATATGTACCTAAGTTTGTGCAGTTCGCTATTTTTCACTCAACAGTATGTTTTAGCGCTCTCCGGTTAATTCCCCTGGACTGCTGTAGAATATTTCCTTGTATTACTGACTATACCACATTTTTAAAAGAGCACTTTAGTTATAGATGGACTTAAGCAGTAGTTCCAAATATTTACTATCATGAAACAATGAAACAATGTAATGATATGTGCCTTAGGCACATGGGTGAGGGTTTTCCAAGCATACATCTAGAAGTAGAATTGTAGGGTGATAGGGCGCCTGGGTGGCTCAGTCGTTAAGCGTCTACCTTCGGCTCAGGTCATGATTCTAGGGTCCTGGGATCGAGTCCCACATCGGGCTCCCTCCTTGGTGGGAAGCCTGCTTCTCCCTCTCCCACTCCTGCTGCTCTTGTTCCTGCTCTTGCTATCTCTGTCTCTGTCAAATAAATAAATAAAATCTTTAAAAAAAAAAAAAAGAATTGTAGGGTGATAGTATATGCACATGCCCAATTTTACTAGATTCTGTCAAATTGCTCCTCAGTTTATACTCCAGCAAGCAGGATATGGCTGTCCCCATTTTCCATCAACCTCACCAAGACTTAATATTTTCAGACCTTAATTTTGCCAGTCTGATGGATGAGAAATTACACCTCTTCATAATTTGTATTTGCATGGCCCTGATTTCTCTTAAGTTTGACCATCCTTTCATAGTCAGTTGGCCATTTGGGATTCCTCTTCTGTGATTTGTCTCTTTGAATCCTTTTTTTTTTTATTGAGCCATAACTGTCATATAACATTATATTGGATTCAAGTATACGATAGGTGATTTGATATTTGTATATATTGTGAAATGATCACCACAGTAAGTCTAGTCAATATCTGTCATCAGTTAACAAATATTTTTTTCTTGTGTTAGGAATTTTCAAGATCTAATCTCTTAGCAACTTTCAAAAATGCAAATCAGTATTATTAACTATAGTCACCCTGCTCTACGTTACATCCCGATGACTTATTTATAACTGGAAGTCGGTACCTTTTGACCACCTTCACCCATCTTGTCCACCCACCCCTCACCCCCCCCCGAATCATTTTTCAATTCCATTTATAGTGGAGGCTTTTTGGCACAAAAGTTTCTAATTTTAATCTAGTCAGATTTTTTTCAATCTGTTGCAAGAGATACTTTTTAAAGAATGGATGAGTATTTGTCAAAGCTGAAAAACTCAAGTCCTCAGAATTGAGAGGCAACACCTAGCACTAAGCAGGATGAATATAATAAATGCCAATGTAGTTGGACACATTGTAGTGAAACTTCCAAATATGATCGTAGGAAGGTGTTGTGTTTGGGGTGGGAAGGGCCTGTGGTTTGTACCCGTGTTTGCGGTGAGACCAGAGGAGCGGGTACCAGGAGATCTTGCACATTGGCTGGTGTCGAGCTGTCTGTGGGCGGCCGGCCTTTGAGCCAGTCCTGCAAACAGAATTCTGGAGACTCATTAGGGAACATGGATGGAAGGCTTGTGTTTTGTTTAACACAATAACTAACAATTTAGAGTTCACAAGATACTGTTTACATATTAGGGCAAACCATCTGAAATTGCCATTTTTGGACAATAAGGAACAATTGAATGTTGACCATTTCCTAAGATTCAATCTAACACACGATTTCCTTTCATACTCTCAACTCTGTGAGATGCACATTAACTTTTTTTACAGATGAGCAACCAGTGGGGCAGGCAGTGCTGCCCATGGGGGTCTTAGAAGACCTAAATGGCCCAGGTTAGTCTGTCTGGCTCCTTCCTGCCGGCAGGACTCTGGGCAGCACTGCCCCCATCTGGGCAATGGGAAAAACACTACATGTTCTCTCCCGCAAGAAGATTAACAGTCGCAGGGGCCATCTCTCTTCTAGGGAGATTAGGCTCAAGATAATCAGTGGCAAGAACTGGTTTTCACCGAGAGAAGTTGGTCCTGACATTCTGACAGCAAACTTCAGGCATAACATATGAGTTGGAGAGGTGTGTCAGGGCCAGAGAGCACAGTGCACCAGAGCCCACCCCGTGAGTGAGCAGGGAAGGGGGAGATGGTTGTGTGGGTCCCATGGCTAACCACGGTGCTCAGAGCCCTAAGTAACTGGTGTGCTGTTTCCTTGCACCACGAGCCTTCCAGGAGGGACCCTTCAGCCTGGATGACAAGTCCGGCAGGCCCGATGTTTTCCTTCTTAGGAGAGGGCCTGTGGTCACTTTGGGTTGCAAACACAGCCTCAGTTCAGAAATGAGAATACTAATGCCAGGTATTCATCAAAACTCTGGACTTATTTTTACCTTCTGTCCTCTCCTCCCCCAGCCCGGGGCCTGCCCAGCTGGGAGCCTAACGTGGGGACAGTGTAGAGGACTTGGCTTCTTCTCTTTTTCCAGCCAGCCGCCCCAGCCGGTTGCCATGGCTACGACTGCTGGCGGTCTGTGGGAGCAGTCGGGGAAGGGGCAGCAACAGCTGTACATTGACTTCAGGCTTTCTTGCCAGACAGATGTTAAGCTCTGCCTCTTTCTCACCGAGTGCTTGAATGCCCTCCCCACAGCTTTCCCACTTGGCTTCTTTCTCCTGAGCTCTCTCTCTCGTACTTGGGGATGTGCCTCAAGTTCAGTCTCATTTCCGGGGTTCATCCAAGACCCTTTCCTCAGCCCCTTGGCATGCAGCTAAAGCCTTTAGCTAGTTCCCGTACCCCATGCTTCCTGTAGCCCCCAAAACCCTGGGTAGTAAGCTGGTCCCCACGTGGTAACAGCAGCCCTACCAAAGCAGCTAGTGAGAGCACCTTCCAGATCTCCCGGGTGGGACCAGAGCCCAGGCAGCCACACCTCAGCTGCAGAAGTTACACATTCGGCTCTTGGAGTAGCGCCCCGCTGACACTCACCCTCACTAGATCTAAGGTATGGGACCAGGAACTCACCCCGTCCAAGATGGCGCTCCCGGCACAGCTTTCTTTCCAAGATGGCGCTCCCGGCACAGCTTTCCTCAAGGAAATGGCCCTGCCTCCTCTATCTCTACCTTCTCAGAGTCTCAACGTGAGCAAGGGGTTTCAAAAGTCTTGGGACAGAGTTTTTGTTATTTCCCTAGAAAAATTTCTCCATGAGGTGACTTGGCATCTTGCTTTGGATTTTCACAACCATAATACATATTAGTGCCTGGTAAAACTTTTAGTTTTAAGGCTCTGTTACATTTATATGCATTGACTCTTTATGTTCATAAGTACAGATAGTATTTTCCATTTTAAAGATAAGGTAAACTCATCTCTAGGGCTTAAAGAGGTAATGCCAAGGTCATCCAAGCCATCAGGGACGTAACTGGGATTCCAACCAGGTCTGACTGGTGTCATCTGGGAGGGTATGCGCTCACTAGCCCCAAGCCCAAGCCCAGATGAAGAATTCAGAGACATGGAGGGAAGTATTTCCTTCATTTAGGACCCAGGCCCCAGGTCACCACAAGAGGTTCCTACCTACCATAGAGCTGATGGAGGTCAGGTCCTGTGGCCTGGCCCTGCCCACGTCGTCACAGGACACATTCTGGGACCTAGTTTCCGAGAGAGGGCTGGGAGGACTTGGGTTGTGGGAGAGACCGATAATTATACTGATCTGGCAACTACCCCATCTCAATGTGACTTTGACTCGAAGTAGGGTGCCAGGAGAGCTGACTCACCTAGTCTAGCATCCAAGCCAAACACTGCGAGGAAAGGGCTCAGCTCAGCCAAGACTGTAACTGCGGGAGGACGGGGCTCTGTGCTGGGATCCCAGCCATGCCTCTGCCTCTGTGTTTTCTCAGTGTGCTTGGGCCTCCTTTTCTCGGTAATTCTGTGAGACTCAAAGCCAGGCATGCTGAGGCTTCAACAGGTGGTCCAGAACCACACAGGAAGGTGTTGAGAGGTGAGCGATGGAGGAACTGACTTAGCTGGTCCTTATAGGAGCAGGAGGATAAAACCCTGGCCATCTCCCAAGATGGGCTTTGTTTGGTCTCCAAGGAGGTTCAGTCTGTTGGGAGTTTCCAGCACAGGGGGTTAGTTCATAAACCACGGTCCATCCACAATGAAGTGGTGACTGAACACCATGACATAAAACACCGGATAACATGGAAAGATATTTACAATATATTATTCAATAGTGAAGACTGTGTAGAGCAGGATCCTATCTTTATAAAAGCAGCTTTCTTGGGCGCCTGGGTGGCTCAGTCGGTTAAGCATCTGCCTTTGGCTCAGGTCATGATCCCAGCGTCCTGGGATCAAGTCCCATGTAGGGCTCCCAGCTCTGCAGGGAGTCTGCTTCTCCCTCTGCCCCTCCCCCCACTCATTCTCTCAATCTCTCTCTCTCTCTCTCTCAAATAAATAAAACCTTTAAAAAAAGAAAATATATATATATATATATATAAAAGCAGCCTTCTTGCTTGAACAAGGACTTCTGAAGGACTGGCTGGAAATGTGCAGTTTGGGTGCTTGGCTCCACTGATCACTCTCCCTATTTATCCTCAGGCTGACCCAACATGTAGGGTCAGGACACGGTCCAGCCCCTTCCACTTCCTAGAATCAGAGCCACTCACCCCCATCTCCCCTACATCCTCTCCCAGGGATCTGTTGGCCAGTCTTCTACACCCTCCAGATACAAATGGGATTGCCATACCCTGCGCCATGTTCCCAGACAACTGGGCCACTCACTGGACACCCATTAGTTGAATGCTCCCTTTGGTGATTCCAGGAAGCCCCATCCAGTCCCACCCTCATTTCTGTTGGGGACTACATCCCTGAAGCCAGAATGTGTTTTGACACTTCCTGAATGAAGAAAAGAAACACACACACACACACACACACACACACACACACACACGTTTAAAGTAGGGCAATCTACCTTGAAACAAAAACAAAAACACACATATAAATATTGTTTTGTTTTTGTTTTTGCAGGCAATTGGCTCATAATAGGTACGTTACTCTGCCACTAGGATTAAGCATAATTCATACTTAGGTCTGAAACATTTCTCCAAGGAAACAATCTGCAGAGATGCCTCACAGCAAAGGTAACCTTTCAATACTTGGTGCATGTCTGCCTGGCTTCTTCCAGTCACAAACCTTGGCACTCCAGGAGAGGGTCTTGGCAAGGCTCACATAACTAAAAACCTGTAGGGAGATTTCTCAGGAGAGGGGAGAGAGGTCAAACAGCCAGCTACTACACACAGAACTGTTCTGATTGTAGCTCCAAAATTACAGGGTTTGGATTCTGTTGGGTTTGTTTATTTTTACTCTTATTCTCTCCATCAGAAGGAAGAACTGACTTCCCCAGATATGTTATGCTTGTATATGTATGCTTAGAAAACACATTTTGGAAGGAAACACAACGAAATGCCTAAAGTAGTTATGGCAAGGGCTTAGAATTCTTTTTTTTTAATTTTTTATTGTTATGTTAATCACCATACATTATATCATTAGTTTTTGATGTAGTGTTCCATGATTCATTGTTTGTGCATAACACCCAGTGCTCCATGCAGAATGTGCCCTCCTTAATACCCATCACCAGGCTAACCCATCCCCCCACCCCCCTCCCCTCTAGAACCCCCAGTCCATTTCTCAGAGTCCATCGTCTCTCATGGTTCATCTCCCCCTCCGATTTACCCCCCTTCATTCTTCCCC